AAGGAAAGGTGATCATTTATTTATAATATATATAATAATTCTATAGTAGGAATAGAATTATTATTAGAATTATTTATAATACAAGTGCTAGAGGGGTCTGAAAAGTGGCTAAATATAGCGACTAAAGCGCTAAGTTGGCAACACTGCTCTTTGCATGGTTTGTTTTCAAATGGTTTGCTGCTGTCTGTTTGGACCTTTCTGAACATGTGCAGCAAATGGACTGATCCAATATGGTGGACACTGAAGGGGGGGGCTGAGACACACTTAATATTATCAGCGTTCTGATGGTTTTTTAGCAAAAGGATTTTAATCAAAAACATAATTAATGTGCACAAATAAGGAATAATTGTATTAACCAAACATGGAAACACAGTTTTATGGGGCCCCCAGGAACTTGGGGCCCTAGGCGACTGCTTAGTATTACGTAATGGTAAATCCCCTCCTGCTGCAGAGCCTCTTTACTGAGAACCAAAAATGAGGAGATTCATTAATAAAAGGAGCAGAGGAGGCCAGGGAGGCCGCGCTTCAGAAAACAAACTAAAATATGAGATATTTAGTTAGAATAAATCACTATCAAGCGCTTTTGAAGATAATTTCCCAGCTTATAAACAAATGTCTCTTGAACATCTCACAAGTTTTCATACTTCAACATCCTGAGGAATACAATTAAAGTAACACATAAAATGATAAATCTGATAGGGAGTTAAATCCATAACTGGGAAATGTGGGGATTAATGTTAGATTTGCGGGACATTCCGTCTCATCGTGACTGATGGGAACGTTATGCAGCATTGGTGACGGCGGGATGGCGTCCCATCGTTACCGTGGCACAGATCTGACTGATGTTCTGCACTGAGCAGACAGTTAGATAACGTTTAAACAATCCCGGACAAGCCCCCACTTGTCACAGGCCGGCTCAGTGCCCATGACAAAAAGGAGGGGACACAAAACAGTTTATTGTAACCTATAAATAACATTAAATAAATAAAACAGAGATGAGATGTGAGTATGTAAGAATGTTTAGTGTGTGCAGTGTATGAGTGGGTGAACATGAATGTGAGAATGTGTCTGAATGTTAACCAAAACCAAACTGAACCAAACAACAAAGGGAGTAACTGGAGGAGCAGAGAGAGAGAGAGAGTGTGTTAGTTGAGCTCAACTTATATAGAGCCTAAGTGGATCCAATTAGTGAGACCCGCCGCTGCCTACAGGAGGAACCGCCCCTGCAGGTCAGAGGACCAATATTCACAACCGTTAGCTGATGCTAACCATTTAGCCAACCCTTTCATCAGGTTTTCTCCATCACAGAGGATCCCCGCCACCGCAATCGTCTGCATCAGCTGCGGGCATCAACCATCCATCCAAATGGGCCAATATGGTTAACATGGCAGAGAAATATGTCAAAATGATGCAAAAAACAAAAGTCTGGAAAGTCTGTTCTCACGATCTGAGGCGGGTCCAAAACTTTCACAAATTTTTCAGCGAGTTAAGCCCCTGATGACATCATTGCCTAGCTTGCATATTTGATAATGCTTTCATCTGGTGTTAAATGTGATAATAAATGTTTAATATTCAGTTTACATAAAAAATAACTTTTTAAAAATCCTTCTGAGTAAGAAGAAGAAGACATCAAGGTTCTTCCTCCGGCTGATCTTTAACCTGACCGAAGCAGACTCTCATGTCCTGAGATCCTCATCATCCTCCTCCTTCATCAGGAGGCGATGAGTCTCACAGCAGAGGTTGCGACCCCTGATTTCACCACAGATGGAGGCACAATGACTGAAGTTCAACTCCCCTCAGAGAAGATCTGCAGCTGCTGTAGGTCACCCTGACAGCCCCCTCTGAGCCGAAATAAAACTCATAAAACCCACAAAAGAGAAAATAGGGGGTCAAGGGTTAAAGACATAAGTTTATGATGCAGCAGATATAAAGCTGGGGAGAGTTTACACGTGAGTGATTCAATTCTACATCAACGTCTGCATCCTGCATGTAAAGCTCCAGATAAATAGAGAATAAAGATCAAGTTTCCACCCAGCATGCGCTGCCTGGTGCCTCCTTGGTGCGTCACTTGTTGCAGAACTGGCAGGATTTGGAGGATTAATGCTTCGGGAGGCTGCAGTCGGACTCCGCCTCAGCAGGCAGCATTACGACAACACACCAACACGCGCAGCCGGACCAGTCGGCACGGCGTGAAAACCCACGCCGCTCGAGCCCAACAGAGACGAGAGCGACTCCAGGATGACGAGTGTGATAAATGTCAGAGGAGTCCATTTATTCTGAGCGGCACTCACTCATGAAGCTGATAAACATGATTTACGTAACGCTGTTTGGGTCACAGCTCCAGTTTGTCATCCACTAACTGAGAGGCGACAATTCTGTAAGGAAGCAAACGCTTCTTAAAGTGCAGCAGGTTCTGCGTCGGCCGTTTAATTCTTGATCCATACAGGGGTTTCCATTTTTAAATGCATAACTTCTGAGTGTGGGGACCCGGATCAGCGCAGAGAGGCGATACATACTGGCTAGTTACACTCAAAACCTATTTTTTTAAGAAGTTTTACAAAGTTTAATTTTTGAAAAGCTTTTGTGTTCTTTTAATTGATAATGTCATCTAAGATAACTTTGTTTATGCTCTTATCAGCAATAATTATGACTTCCTTTCCATTTACAAAATATGTCATTTAATTGCTAAAATAATGGAACAAAATTCACTCTATACATATGGACATTTGAATTATATTTTTTTATACAAAAATTGTATTAAAAAAAATGTAAACATAGTTTTAGTTTCTACGAAAGAGGATTAGGGCCTCTGAAAAACTGATTTTTAAATTTTATTTCAGTTTAA